TCTTGTCATCCTACTCTTAAAGAAGACAGGTTGCTGGACAAACAGGAGGGTTCCCGGTCCCCCGAGGCATTTTTCAAGATCTTTTCAAGATCTCGCCCCGTATTAGCCGCTCAAAAGGGCGGGGGTATCATGAAGGGACCACCTTCACTCGTGTCGCCGGGCTAAGAAAAAAAGATGACAGCAGTACCTTTTAAAACTCATTGGCTGTTCTTCAACTGGGCTGTTTCTTAATACAGTTACCATGGTACAGCCTGACAAACACGTACTCCATACAGTTTAAGTTAGCTCTTTAAATAGAGAAGGCCACACCAAATAACTACATCTTTTCTGTCACACAGGCTGAAAACAGAGTAACAAAGCTATTAGTTGTCCATGACCACAAGATATAATGATGTTTCACTTGTTATGCATGACCACTAAGGTCCTCAGTCACCTAGACCGATTACAGCATAACAGTCCTTTTATCTGTTATGCATGACCAGTAAGGTCCTCGGTCAGCTAGACCAATTACAGCATAACATTCCTTTCATCTGTTATGCATGACCACTACGGTCCTCAGTCACCTAGACCGATTACAGCATAACGGTCCTTCACTAATTTGTTATGCATGACCACTGAGGTCCTCGGTCACCTAGACCGATTACAGCACAACAGCCGTCTCATTTGTTATGCATGACCACTAAGGTCTTCGGTCACCTAGACCAATTACAGCATAACGGTCCTTTTATTGTTATGCATGACCACTAAGGTCCTCAGTCACCTAGACCGATTACAGCAAAACAGGCGTCAGCCCTTCATTTGAAATGAAACATCACCACATCATTGGCTATTGTCAGGGTAATTATGAGTTAGCCAGATGGAGTATTTGAAAAACACATAGATCAGACACTTATGATCGAACTAATTCAGCATTGTCTCAATGATGACTTTGTGATTGAGCCCACTCTACGAGTCTGAGAAAGGTTTCCTCCCTATATGCTGGTGCTAACACCCTTCTCTGCCGACACTGAGTTGCTAAGACATGCAGTCTCTCAATCTCCACTGCTCTAGCTCTTTTTGTTGGAGTGTCCACAGGTCTGAATCTGTCACTGTTTATCAGTACATCTTCATGAAAAGCAAAATCAGGATCTCTTCCTTCCCCACCAGCTGATTTTGCTCTTGACAATGCCACAAATAGAGCTCCTGGGTTTCTGGCTTCAAAGCTATGGTCCTCGGGATGAACCACTACATACCTGAATGCTTCTCCGGCACCCACAGTCATCCCTTGGCATTTGTGGATTGTTGTTCCCCATGCCAGTCGCAATGGAACCTGCAGACGCTTGCACCGGCATGTACATTCAGTGGAACGACTTACTGGTACAATTGGCACAACTGTCGGATCTTCATTAATGTACGGTGGCCCCCTATATCCTGGAAACCTCACCAGAACCACATCAGGTACTGGAGCAGGATCATCAGTAGGTCTGCGGCCATGTTTATACACAATGTCTACGACTGTGCCTACTGCCCCATTGTACAAACCCCAATCGGCCTTTAAGTTAACTACCAGCATTACTTTGCTGTCACGGCAAAGATACAGTAGAGGTAACAATCCCCCCGCCTTATTACTGTCAGCATCCACTGCATGTCTGCCATTGTGAACTGCCTTGATCTTTGCTACTGGGTGGTTTGGCTGTCTGTTACACTCAAGCAGCTTTGGTTTATTACGCTGCCATTCAAGACGGTGCGTGGGAAATACGTACAGACCTTGCTCATCCATCCTAGCAAGGAGTTCCGGGCCATGCGACATGCGGAGATTGTGCCATTGAAACTGTTGTAGCCAATGGATTTGCTGGGGTGTTGTCGTATAATTCCTTAGTGACATCAGCACATCTCTCAGCTGTTGCTCAGATTCATTCTGCCGTATAATCTGAGTAAGCTCAACAGCACTATCAAACATTGTCCAAACCAAGCGACCATGGTTAGATGGTGCACTACGGCAATCTGAGATATACACGGGGGTGTCACACACAGGAGGAAGCTGAACATCATCTCCCATAAACACTGCAACAGGAATCCCTCCCCATAACTCATCTGCATTGGCTCCTTTGTTGATTGCATAACGTGCATGCTGTTCCATCCAGCCCATTGTTGTGCGTCCAAACATTGAACGTTCATCACCAACCAGAACTTTCAGATTTTCGCATTTTTTTTTAATTTTCTCTAGTAAGGGACCTGTAGGTACAGTCAACTCATTGCAAGACCTTCCACCTGTTCGTACTCCAAGAAAGCTGTGAGCTGTACTGCCTTGAACGAGATAGACAGCATTCCCTGTTGGAGTTATCACCTGTATTGTATCATTGGCTTCAACAACTTGCCGCACTAACCTCTGGAGACACTTTATGACATAAGACTTTCCTGTACCAGCAGTTCCAGAGACAACAAGCCGCAGTGGATGGTAATATTCAGTGTTTTCTACAAAGTTGAACAGGGTGTGCAACACAAGCCCCACTATGGCTTTCTGATTCTCATTTAGAGACAACGGACACACCTGAGGTAAATCAAGGTCTCTACTTTCTGTCTCCCGTTCCTCATCTGCTTTAATGCTTTCTTGAAGCCATTTTGTTGGGTCTTTTCCTTCAGGAAGAATGATACGAGTGCTGCTCCAGTCATAGTCCTCCCCACCACCATCATAATCAAGGTCCTTCTCTACACCCTCATATATTTGGTTCTGCCCTGCATATACATCCACCCAGTCTGGCTGTTCTTCTGCTTCAACAGCATCATCTTCCTCATCCTCTTCAAACACTGGTTCTTGTGGGTGGTCTGCAAAACGCCGTGCCTTAGCAACTTGGGCCTTCACAAATGTTGGACAGTGGTCACTTGCAAAAAAGTCCTTAAAGCGATCAATCCAAGATTCAGCATCCCCCTTCACTTCTTGGATGTCAAACCAACTTGGCCAGTGCAACAGGAGCATGGTCCTACAGTAGTCTTCATTCAATGGCCATGTTGCATGCGTAGAACCACCACTTACAACAGGGACATTACCGTTGTTCGATGCAAAGTGGTACCAAGAACAGTGTTCATCTTGCGGTCGTGCAAGGTACTTATCCAGTGGGGTGCTGCGAGTTGCAGTTTCACCATCACGTTCAAGTCTCCTTGACAAGTAGGTAAATGGACGGCTACATCGCCAAAGTGCTAGCCCACTCAGTTCAAAGGATGCCTCCGGTCCACTGATATCTCGTCTTCCTACCGTCTTTATCAGCATCTTAGCACACATTGACTTGCCTGTCACTTGGTCTGCATCACCTGCATCAACAGCATTCACCATGTCCTTAAAGAGATCAGAAGTTGCACCAGTGGGTTCGCTATCTTTGCAAGCATATCCACACACTTAGTCAATTATGGCAATGATATCATCTGTACTCGGATTATCTGGAGGAGAATTGGAAAGAATCAAGCTTACATCCCCATTTGCTCTCCATGATTGTAGCTGATAACGAGAATGCTAAACCACACGTGGATGGTCACGTGGCATCTCTAGGCGTGGTGCTCCATTATGATCTTCCACAATTTCCGAACTACCATGAATTTTTTTCCCTGGGCAGAACTCGCTTCCAAACTCCATCCGACATACACGTTCTCTTGGCTGCAATCCTTGCTCCGGATGGCGAGGAGTTCTCAAGCAGTAATCAGAGCAACTGTGGAGTCCAACCCGGTTTACTAAAAGCAAATGATCCTCCAGTATTGCATCTTGTGTTGCAGTTATTTGCATTAGCATCTTAACTAACGGATCCCTATCATCTGTAGCCTGCGTAGCAGGCGCTTGGAAGTAGCGGGCGAAAGAGAGAACGGGCGCGCGCGAGGGAGACACGCAAGGGGTGAGGGAGCGCCTGCACGGAAGGCTCCCGAAAATCATTTCAACTCGCACTCTGTGAGTGCGGATATTTCCAATTGGTCGAGAGGCTCCCGAGGGAAAAATTAACCGCGCGGGGCGAGAAAACTGTCAATCAATAGTACATGGACAACGTACTGAAGATCTTGCATTACACCACTGGGTCTTGAAACCACTAAATTGTATACAATCGAAGTTCAGGTCTCGGAGGTCACTTCAACCTGGTTTAATGGGACTATGTGGCTGTAATGTCAAAGAAAAGTTGGAGTGTTCAAACGGTATTCACGATGGAAAGAATTGACATCGGATACGCATCAACAGATGTGGCCAGAGACAAAAGATTTGTCGAATCGTTGCAATGAAGGTCAGAGGAAATATTCTTTGCTCAGGAGAACTTGGCGGCTTGTGCTGTCGCTGGAATGTATACCATCAAAACTTGGACACGATTGATGAAATTAAACACTTACCAGTGGCATGAACTTGAAAAAAACATTTCACTATAGTATTATTCGCCGTTCGAAGGCGACCTGAGGTCTATTGTTTATGTCTCATTACTGTAGTAGAAAACATGACGGTACAGTTTGTGTTCTGAGGTTTAGGTCCGCTTAGTAAGACATGTCTGCTCCAAAAACAGCTGCCAGTTAGCGCAGTAAAAGCAATATGGTCATTTTCCACGTACGCTGTGATCGTTGGTGTCTGACCAGAACAATATTTTTAGTTTTTATAATACACAGCATGCATTCTTTAAAAGATACCCAGTTTTTACTTTGTTATTTCCTATTTATTTTGCCCATGTTAAAAAACGATTTAAAGCTTTGTGTTAACCATCAGTTTATTGCTCCATCGCTCTATAATCAGATAACCCAGCTGATCTTTATAACAGATATATTTAGACCGAAGATAAAATGTACAACGCTTTTTGGCGGCTTGCTTTGTTTGTGTGAGGTCAGTCGTTTTCTGTCAAAACTTTTGACAGATCACGCAATGGCTGCCAAGTAATTAGAGAGGGGGCGGGAAACGATTTTCGGGGGCCTTCCGTGCAGGCGCTTCCTCTCCCCTCGCGTGTCTCCTTCTCGCGCGCCCGTTTTTTCTTGTGCCCACTACTTCCAAGCGCCTGCTACGCAGGCTATATCATCTGATATGGGCTGAGCCGTTCCCTCAGGTGGTGGCCAGAGGTCTTTTCTCGGGTGCCGTTCTTCGTCATGGCAAAGGTTTGATCCGCCCACTGACTAAGTCTAGCTGCATACTCTTCCTCTTCGCAACCATCTTCACGAGCTTCATGCAATAGCTTATGCGGTTGCCTGTCTTCCCTCCAGCTGAGTTGGTGCCAATGAATTTGACCGCGGGACTTGGCAAACTCATAGCGGTACCAATAATCAGAGACACCGAATACTGGCTTTAGTACCTTCTCATGGTATGCGTGGGTGCGTAGGTCAAAGTAACTCACCACTACATGAGTATTTTCTTGTACTGCCTTGAAGCAGGCATTACTATCTTCAGCAAGGTTGGCTTCTTTTCCTTTGGTCTGCAAGATGTACTCTTCAAGTAGTCTTCTAAGAGGAGGAAAGTAAAACTCGGCACAGCTTCCAGTCATGAAAAATGAAGGTAACCCATGCTTCTCATTGACCATGAACTCAACCAATGCACGAAGCTCTCTACGTCTCTGGTGCCAATACTGAGCTGTACCAAGTAGATTTGCACCAAAATACAACAACTTGTCGGTGAAAGTGTCGCCTCTTGCAAGTCGCTCTTGCAGGTCTGCAACAGTTATTTGTGGGTCACCAAGTTGCTGGTCAACAAAGAACCGACTCTGTTCCAGGGCACGCTTCCTCATGATCATATTGTGGACGACAAACTTCCAGACTTTATGCCTCGCAAACCTTCCGCCTTGGTACCAAAGCAGGTGCTCTGCCCAGTCATGCAGTGTGGGACACGTCACAGGACGGTTTATGTGGAAATCACCCTTTGCATAGGGAAACAAGCAAGGAAATGCCATGGTAAAAAAATAGGGAGTGGTAAACTCCGATGCTGGTGTTGTGCTCGTGGTCGGCCACGGGATCACTGGTCGTTGCACATTTCGTTGTGTTTCTCCAGCTTCACCTTCCCTAGATTCAGAAACAACTTCATTTATGGCTGCTTCTACTTGTGCTTGCACATTCACTCCCGGCTCAGGAAGAATAATTCCAGAGACTGTTGAGTCATCAGTACTGTCTGTTTCCCCAACATCCAATTGTTGTGGTGCAGGGCCTTGGTCGTTTATGCGTTCTGTCTCAGAGAACTCAACAGTCCTCAAATTGGGCAACTCACCATCTTCTGGTAAATTCTCTATGCGAGTGCCATCAATAACAACATCACCGTAAGCAGGATTGTTGTCCTTGAGCCAACGAAGGGCTCCTTCAACATGGTGTCTTCTAACCCTGAAGTCCTTATGGGTATCATCTTTTCCTTGTCTTCTCACGCGTATGATATCCACCTCTGCTGGTAGGCGTGGAAGAATAGTGGCGGGTTCTTGCACAGCCTGTGGGAAAGCAAAGCAATGTCCCTTTGAGGCGATACCTCCATGCTTCAGCAGGTGCACATGCACAGTGGGTGCTAGCCTGGCTATCAGCATCTGTTCAGCATCTGACATGTTAGACAAAATCTCAGGAACAGCCATTGGATCCATGTTATTCTCACCTGACTAAACCTTTGGCACCTTCTTATCTCTTCTGCAACGAGTACACATGTTTCTCGTGCCCTTGCACTCCAGTCGCCTTTCCTTGCAGACCTCACAAAAAGAGGATGCATAAGTCATCTGCTCCACCTCAAATGTACGAATAGCTCTGTAGGCATTATCTTCTTGCTGACTTGACCCTGCTGGTGGAGGAGGTGGTAGATCTCCAACAACTTCACGCAACCTTTTCCCTTGTTCTGATATTCTTCTTTGGTTTCGCCGCTGTCTTTTTCTTCTGTCATCCTCCGTTTCCACTTCACCAGGCTTTGCAAACTCATAGTCCACACCAACTGCCCTTGCTCTAGCAATTAGGCGGTCATCTTCTAAGTGGCTACTATTATTTACTTCTGGAAGAGGTTGCTGTGTTTCCTGCACGTTGCTTGCTCCCTCAATTGGGCCATTTTCTACTGCAGGAGTGTGTCGTTCCAACTCTTCTCCTAGTAAATGAATTATTTGTATTAACCAACTACACAATTCATATAAGCTATGGGGCTAGTGGATTCTATTTTTTATCTTGCCTGAAGGATAATAGAGTTGTGATTCTTGGGCTAACAGATGCAAGCTACAGCCTTCCCGAAGGACAAGCACAAAACTGACCTCCTTTTCTTCGCACCCTAGTACTGCATGCTTGTATAACTGTACAAGAATTACTATTATAAAGCTGTATCTGTGGAAGTGTTCTCAAAAACTGATTTCAAACAGAAAATACACAGTATTTCTACTTTTGAAACTTCGGATAATACAACAACCTTGACAATCATTTTCTAAGTGCTGATATTTCATAAACCAGTCATCAAATATAATGGGAGTGACCCAACCAATGAACTCATTATTATAATCCAAAAAATAATTATCTCTATGAGAATTCAATGTATTTTAACTTTGTTCTAGTCAAAGTAATACAACCCTAAGGTAAGTTTTCCCATAATAATAATGCACGATCAAATACAAACAGAACAAAAATCCTACAATCCAGTCATGGAGAATTAAGTACAGACATGATGACTTGTCATGTTTACCACAACAACAACACTTGAATTACACGACAAAAGGTCTAATCAGTGAATTATACAGTGTTTTTGTTACAAATAAATATGATGAATTCTGAGACTCATCTTGTGAGAAATCATGAGTCCCAGTCCAGAACCAATGAGTCCCAGTTAAAAAAAATGAGTCCAAAATGGAAAATGTTTGGGCCTTTATGTACCAGCCGCAGACAGTTAATCTGAAGACACACGCCAAAACTCTGTATTATAGTATACTGAAATTAAAATATAGTTCTTCTATTTTAAAGCAGAAGTCAACAAAGGCTAAAACAAATATGCATCACTAAACAACAACCATAACTGCCACAGAAATTACACGTACGGGATATTTCTACAAATACACACGTTCAGATCGATATATCCACGAATTATTTTATGTCTTTGGCGATTTTTATGCGTCAGGAACATAGATAGAATGCAGAGATAACAAAATCACTGATTATATAGCTGCTCTTTTGAGTCCATGTAAAAAAATATATATGAAAGTTTTAACATTCTTATTTGTTACACACACACGCCCACCCACACCTTTATTAATTTCAAAATCTTGGTTACAAAAATGAAAACAAAACAACCCACAATGAATAAATAAATAAAAATAATCAGGTAAATTCATAAAATAAAATATTGAGAAAAAAAGTGTTACAAGAAAAAGGAAAGATTACATAGGTAAGACAACAGAGCATAATTAATTACACCAAAAAGGGGGAAGTTTTAAAAGTATACATGCTTCCCACCAGCAAATTGTGGCACTTAATTAGTTCTGATAAATTTCTATTGTTTATTAGCCCAATCACAGTTTTTCATTCTCTGACAAATTTGCATTATAATACCTGATTTCTGGTCGACCTGGAATTTGGAAGTGTTGGTTCTTGAGGAGAAGGGAAAACCGCATTCCCTGGAGAAAAACCTTTTGGATCAAAGGGGAGAATCAACAACCAACCCTAACCCCATTATGGTGTCAATGATGGGAGGAAGTGTCTTTGTGTCAATATACAATGTATAATTCTAAAAATAATAATAATAATGGTGGTCACACTACAGACTTTTAACAAGGTAAAACAAATTTACCTAGGGCAAATTCGTCAAACATTTCCTGAGGTAAATTCGTCTTGGGTTTCATTTTACCTAGGTGTAAAAAAATTTGGGGAAGGTCGCACTACTGAAATCGACTCCCAAGGTTTTCACGCACATCTGAATTTTTGGTGCGTAAATTCAAGAAGGCAAGATTCTTCCGGATCTAGCCGATCAAAGATGCATTTGTCTTTTTATGTCACTGTCATTTCTTATGCTAATTCAGAGATCAAGGGGAAGATGCATACGACACATGCCCCCCCCCAAATTCTTTCACAATGTGAGGTATGTTTAGTTCTGTCATCAAGATCTTCGCCGCCGAGTGTCTATTGGTTAGCAACCTCAGTACTTTATTTTTCCCTAGCTATCCCTTAGGGGTAGCTGTCAAGGGAAACTCTATTGTTCTAGAGACACATCCAAGCACCAGACGATAAAATTTCCCTAAGGTAAGTTACCTAGGGAAAAATGGGTCACACTTGAAAAATAAAGTTTCCCTTGGTTAACTGTCAACAAGGTGAGTTTACCTAGGTAAAAAGCTGTAGTGTGACCACAGCTAATGACCCAGTTTTGTTATTCACGACTACACTAAGGCATTGAAACTGTTTCTTGTCCTCTGTTGCTTGTCTGATATCATCTTCATAACTCTACAGGAATATTGTCAGGGGCACCCAACGACAATTTTTGGAAAATATCTGTTCGGAAGACGATTTGAGGTCTAGAGTTTTCGGAACATTTGTTGTAAAATTTCTTGCTTGCTTGTCTCTCCTAGGATTGTCGAACATCTAAAAAATGGTATAATTGCCCATTTTTAAGGGGTTTTACCCTAAAAAGGTCGCGTAGAATTTTCGGGAGCCTTTTTTTTGGCTAAAATTTTCGAAAAGGTAACTTTTGATCCCTACAATTTTCGGATCACTAGACTCTCAGCTAGGAAATCTGAACAGATGAAAAATTTTTAGGGGATAAAAATATGCCCATATCTACCGTTTAAATACTAAAATACGTTCAACAATGCTATGTTTAAGAGGTTTTGAGCTATGTTCTTGTTGGGTGCCCCTGTATTGTAGCCTTACAGCCTTTTCAAATAATTAAGTGACTGTTTAGCGAAACAAATCAGCTGTACGCTATAAGAGGGGGGGGGTTATTCAAAAGGGGTGGGCTACTAAAATTATATTTGACTGTTGAAACAGGGGCAAGGAAAAAGTGGGGCCTTGAGAGAGGGAGGTGGTAAAAAATTGTTAGAGAGAATGATTATGGTACAATATTTATCGTACCCAGTATTTTCTTTGTCGTTATCTTCTGTATCAGAAGAAGGGAGTAATCTAGCTTTCTTTGGTTTGGATGGCCGCAATTCCTCCTCATCTGAAATGTCACCTTCCCCTTCATCATTTGCATTGCTACTACTGTCATTTCCAGCAGATGACAGCTGTGACTCTCTAATTGAAGCCTGCAGTGCTGCCTCTAAATCTTTTTGATAAAGCTTTTCATCTCGAGATAATCTGCAGTGAAAAGATGTTTGAGTTTAGCTCGTACAGTCATTTTGTACACTGCACGTTTTGTACAATACTAGTACAGAAGTTTTGTGTACAAAGAGTTCTTAGGGCGTCCAAAAGCTTTATTGCCCAGCATATAGGTTTTGTGCAAAGGCAGAGATTCTGTAGGAGTAATCCAAAAGGCACCAATAAGTGTAGCCCTATTAGTATGCCTAAGAATCCTGAGTTTTTTTTTAACCCTTGGTGACTCTAAATTCCTGACCATTTGAACCAGGTCCACTTAAAACCTGATTTCCCTATTGACCAGTCACACACTATATTTTCCCCTTGACTTTTCAAAGCTTCTGATAATTGAAACCACCCTGCTTTTCCTTGGGGGTTCAAAAAATTGGGGATTCCACTGTTTTGTTTTCCCTGGTCACATTGAAAAAAAATAGTGGCCCAGTGTTTACTCAGATCAAAACTTATGATTCATAAACAATTCCAGAAGCTCATTGTTAACCAAGGGATGGGTAAGGAAAAGACCTTGTTAATGTTATTTATTGCCTCTAAAGAAACTTGACTTAAGATAAGTTGACCCTAATTGTGGTTTAAAAGCGGGTTACTGCACTTTAAATAACCCTGCTCTGAACTCAGAATTTGTCGGACACTAGCAAATTTTAGTCGGCCAATGTCTGATGACGGCCTGTTATTTGCAGTCCTGGGCTTCTGCTCACAGGGTACCTAGCAAGTGCTTTTTCCTGTAAACATACAAGGCCCACCATGTTCTCCCAGGTTCACCTTAACACACTAAAAATTTATTTTCATGCGTTTTTGTCACAACAAATCTAAGGAATGTAAGACACAGAATCTTATCTTCTTCCAGAGAAAGGCACCCTGATCCCTTGAAACATAAAATTCAACTCAGAAATTAAACTGTACCTTTCTTTTCTTTTTAAATTCCCTGAATCTTTAGTTTTACTTTTAGTGACTTCTTGTTTTGTTTTTGCTTTTGTCTTTGTTGCGGTTTTAGCCTTCTTTACAGGAGCTGGTCCAGTGTCATCCTGGAAATCATCTATAGATAGATAGATAGATAGATAGATAGATAGCCTTTATTTTAAAACGATGAGTATTAAAGCTACATGAGCTTGTGGGGTCGTTTGCAATTACCTAATTACAAGTAAAAACTAGGGGTATATACAGACAAAACGTTCGAACTAAATTAGCGCTTACAAATATGAAATTATGAGCATAAATTTAAGTATATACAAAGTCATCTTTTCTAAAATTACAAGTGGATGCAGACGTTATCTTAAAGCTGAATTCATTAAAATTAGCTTGAGATTTGAGCTTTAGCCTGAGATCACGATAAGGAGTGTTTTTTGTTAGGGCACTACAGTTGCTGGTCACTGCATTCCACAGGACTGAGCCTCTAAACCCGACAGAGTCTTTCATGTAACGCGTGTTGAAGCGTGGAACAGTTAAAGAAGCGCAAGTCCGGGTTGAATAGTTTGTGACCCGTTTCTTAGAAATCAGGTCGATTAATGTGACAGGTAACCTATCGTGGAAAGCTTTATGAAGACAGATAAAAATGGCCAATTTATAATAAATAGACAGAGTTTGCCATTGGGCGCGTTGTAGGACATCAGCAGATGCCATGTCTTTCGGCAAATGAAAGAAGTCTCGCAGCCCTGCAGTGAAGTCTTTCCAGGGACTGAAATAAGTCGGAATTGCAGCAAGATCCCCATAGTATAAGACCATAGGTCACTGAAGGCAAGATGACCTTAAAATAGAGATCCTGATGAACGTTTCTAGGGAGAAATATCGACTTCTTAAGTAATCCTAGTTTTTTAGCAAATGATTTTTTGAGTTCCAGCGTATGCTGAGTCCAGGTCAGTTTCTCATCGACGGTCATTCCCAGTAATCGTGATTTCGATACCCATTCAATCGTAGAGTTTCCGATAAAGATCGGGGGAATGTTAACCGGGGGATTTCTTCTAGAGATTAGCATGGCCTCACTTTTACTTGGGTGGGGTGTTAATCTGTTAATGAGGCACCACTCGTTTAATTCACGAAGTGCAGAATTTAACTTGGCAATACTTTTTTCTGCCGTGTCACTTATGCAGTAAACCGTTGTGTCGTCGGCAAACATATAGACGGATCCGGAAGATACTGAGGACGGAAGATCGTTCGTGAAGAGAGTGACAAGTGTCGGCCCCAAGACAGACCCTTGAGGAATTCCGAAAGAGATCGGTATCATCTCTGAAGTTGATCCATTAACAGCTGTGTATTGCTGTCTTTCCTTTAAGTAACTTTTAAGCCAGTCCAGGAGTAGCCCTGATATGCCAAAGTCCCTTTCCAACTTCGTTTCGAGAATGGCGTGCGACACACTTTTGAATTCCTTTTTAAAGTCTATGAAGGCAACTGCTACCACTAAGCCTGCGTCCACAGCTTCTCTCCATGTTTCAGTAAGTTGTATTAGTAACAGTTCTGTTGAAAATCCTGCGCGGTATGCCCATTGTTTGTTTGGATGTCCATAATAGTGAGGTGTCTACAAGATGAGAGTTGACTGTAGACTGGAAACCTTTCTGTCAAAAATGAACATAGCCAGCCCTGTTATAATGGCAAAAAACTGTTTTTGGGGGATGGGGAGCAGTTATAAGTGCTGGGTCCAGTTACCCTTCATGTGCCCAGTCATGAGACAAGCAGAAGATGCCACTGCTTATCTCATGATCTGTGTTTGTTTACTTGCTCTGTGGCCTTTAATTATTGTTGTTAAATTCACTTTTGTTTTTGATACACTAAATATTGACTTATTATTATAATCCAAATTAGCCATTATGTAAGTTTACATCAGATGAACAAATTTCCCAAGTTAGTCCTGGGTCAATTTAATAGAACTTTGACAAGTGTAATTTTCAAGTGTATAATCGGCTATATTGTGTTCGGACTCAGAAACAATAGCTTCACTTGTAAATTACACTTGTAAAAGTTTTTTAAATCAACTCCACTTTTGGAAATGTAATAAAATATCTGTGAAACTATGTTACAACAAGACGCTACGGAGCGTACACTTCGGCGTCGTGGTTGTGGAACTAATTAATTGTAAATGCGGAGGAATAGTAAGAAATTAAATATGGTAAGTGTAAGGTGTTAATTTGTGAAATTATGGGATTTGTCAGGATATTCTGAAAAGAGCAACATCCAAGAGGCCTACTTGCCAAAAATTAGCATTTCTGGACAAATTGTCTCCAAGATATTAGCCCAGTTATGCTCTGATGACTCCATACAAATCCTTCTAAAAAAACAATTCTCTATTTTTCTTAGTCACATCAGGCTTCAAAAACAGCATAGCAGTCTCATGTACTGATTAAAGATATTTAAGGCATGGGTAAGAAGTCAATTACGTTGAGCATGGAATTGGCTAAAACTCAAAGTCACGAGTTCGAATGTTTTGAGGACAATTATTCACTGGCTATCAGCACGCAGGGATGTCGGATTAACACAAGGAAGTTTAACACCAAAGGAACATAGCCTTTACAGAGCTTTAAAACACAGCATCCACCAACACAAACTTGACTTGAACTTTGAGTAAAACTAAACAGCCTCTACCAATAATAACAAACTCTCACTTGAACTTCAGATATCTTACGGCTTCCGCGAACTTGTAAACACAATACCTGATAATCGACCTTCGTCACACTTGACTAAACACAGCAGTCCAGCTCGTGGGAAAAAACTTAGTTCTTCAAAAGAACTCGCTTGGAACTTGTATACCGTTTGGCATAAGGTTCTAGAAAATACTAAACAGCAGGCAAATAGTAGTAGCTTTTCGAGATATTTTATGATTTCAGTAACTGATGCAAATCTGCTGACTCATACTGAAATGTAAACATGCCCTATTTAATTATTCATGGGTAATCCAAAAACGTAGAGAGCGTTCGAGAAAGTCACGCAACGCATGAAAGCAATTTTACTACGTAACACTCAACAAAGACAAAATGTCTTTTTGCAGCATTTTGTAACTTTAAATTCATCATAAAACAGTTCGAAAGGAGGGCTCACTCGTGAAATGTTTTTCAACACTCGAAGAGAAATTTCGTGTCTCTGCGCGGCCACGAAATATCCTCTATTCATTCTTCGAGTAATTAAAGACTAAACTCGAAGTGATCTCAAGATATCACGAAGTAGTCCGGTCTCATTTCGTGAAATAGTTGAAACAAGCCGAAAAGTCACGAACTTGCACGCCCAATCTTGTCCCGAAACTAGTGCATCATTTCATAACTATTTTTCACATCCCGAACTACCTTGGGTCGCAGTAGCGCAATCGGCTAATCCCTCAACTTAGAGTCTCCTCTGATCTGACGGGTCACACAGGTGAGTCGGTTCAAACCCCGGGAAAGCCAAAATAAGAATTCTTTCTTCCTCGAAAAAGTTAAAGAATAAATCAAAGAAATCGAAGTGATCTCGAGATATCTCGAATTAATTCGGCTCTCACTTCGTCAAATAGCCGAATGAAACCGAAGAACTACAGACTTTGCATGCCCAATCTTGTCAAAAAATTGTAACTTTGATACATTCCTGAGCGTCGCGAAACCTTTACTTCGCGCTCCGCCGAAGTAATAATAAATATGGACTCCCAGGAGCAGTAAGGTGGGAACAAATACTCACACACAAACAATGTAAAATACAAAGACTTATTTTCAACAACCAGGCTCAGTGTTGAAATTTATAGGACTGATGTCAAAACACTTATGCGCTGTTATGTGCTATTAGTCCAATACTTTTACTTACTAAATAATTAATGTTTCATTACTATTAAGCTTAATTTCTACAGCAAATCCTACTAATGGGTATTGCATTAACAACCGAAATTGAGAATAGTGGATGATTTAGTATGGGGCTTCTCTTTGTTCATAAAATGAAGTTTGATTAGAAACAATTTCTACAAAAAAAAATGTAAGACTCACCGTCGCTATTATTTGTGCTTTCACCTTCTTCTTCACAAAACTTGGAATAATCAACTTTTTTGCGTACTCTACGGCGAAGAGACATTGCAACGATCCGTTACCCACCATAAAACTAAACTATATTACCATCAAAGTCTGTTTAATGATCGAAACACAGGATTTACGTTCATTTCGTTCCACAGTCAGATCGTTCCAAGTCAGATCGTTCCAATCAATAGTCAGATCGTTCCACAAAATAGTCAGTTCGTTCCACAAAAAAGTCAGTTCGTTCCACATGTGAAAAGTCAAGTAAATTTTTCTAAATTTGTTGAGTGAACTTTATCGAGAAGAAAAACGTTTCGTTCATACCACAAACTGATAAAATAATAATTTATCCAAAGTCGATTCGATCCATCCCAAGTCGTTTGAAAACAAACAAGAAACGATTTCAAACAGCCACGGGCTTTAACATTTAAACCGCCGCTATGAGAGCTTTTGAGCTAGAGACGATTGATGGCTTAGAAAGATATAGCACAACAAGTAAAAGCTATGCCGTTCTGAAGGTACAGTATTTCGAAGCGCTTGCGACCAGAAGCGCTAGAATTATGCAAATTTTGTAAACAACGCGAGTTTCGAATTACAATCTCGATGTTATGGTAATTTGTCTTGCGGAAAATATAAATGAGCATTACAAGCATTTTATCGCCTTCAACCTTTTATTAATATCCTTTTTACATGCGGGGACGTTTCGGTCGTCCTAATGACTCCCGCCCCTAAACAACATACAGAATTACATAAAATAACTAAAACTAGCTCTCGTTAATTTCGCAAAGCTAAGTGCGCAATTCGAATAAATCACTATCAGGTGGATAAGTATTAGGGAATCAAATTACATTATCCACTCGATAGCGAACATTATTCTTCCTTTAAACTTTCTTGCACTGTTTCGCAATTCTATTAAAGTGCAAGTCTCATTGATATTTTAAATTATTATCCTTTTTACATGCGGGGACGTTTGGGCCGTCCTAATGACTCCCGCCCCTAAACAACATACAGAATTACATAAAATAACTAAAACTAGCTCTCGTTAATTTCGCAAAGCTAAGTGCGCAATTCGAATAAATCACTATCAGGTGGATAAGTATTAAGGAATCAAATTGCATTATCCACTTTATAGCGAACATTATTCTTCCTTTAAACCTTCTTGGACTGTTTCGCAATTCTATTAAAGTGCAAACCTCATTGATATTTTAAATGATTATCCTTTTTACATGCGGGGACGTTTGGGTCGTCCTAATGACTCCCGCCCCTAAACAACATACAGTATCGCAAAAAAACTACAGCTGTATGTAGATATCCTAAACTAATAGGCCCAACCTATGTTTTCAAATAAATAATGACAGTATATGTCCCCTGTATACTAAAGCGAGAATTGAACTTCTAAGTTAATAGGCCCAACCTATGTTTTCAAACAAATAATGACCTTAACCTAACGCAAAATCGCGGGAACTAGCGCGAATTATCCGTATCGGCTAAACCTATGTTTTTCGGCACCTATATATCCCCTGTATACTAAAGCGAGAATTGAACTCTAAGCTAATAGGCTCAACCTATGTTTTCAAACAAATAATGACCTATATATCCCCTGTATACCTAAGCGAGAATTGAACTTATCTACTTTAACTTTCCCTTGGTCCATTGAGGTGGGAGCATGCTTTCAGCAAACTTTTGGCTGATCGTTCTTTCGCTTCATACTGGTCCCAAAGTTCGAACAGCTTCGCCTGCAGCTCGCGGTACTTGCGTCGCTGTATTCTCTTCAATTTCTTCTCGGAAACGAGACGGATCTGGAGGGCGGTGAGAGAATCATACATCGCGGCAAATCAAGCTTATACTGGAATATCTCAAATTTTCCTGCAAAGTTTTCATCTACTGATGCTTTTTTCTTTTTTCCCAGATCTACCGCAGATGATGACTTGGCCCAGTTTGTCCGTACTGTCATGTCTCTGTCGAGAGAGGTGGAAACGGAGATGGATAACATTCGCTCCGACCAACGGAGAGCAGAATTTTATGCAAATCGGGTGTTGTGTGCTTTGCGGCATATTACCGACATTGTCCAACACATGCACCGGAGTGACGGATTTCCTCATACGGAGGTACAAGAACTTGAAACGCTGCGAGAAAATTTAAGGGCAATTTACGGTCTTATTGTTCAGCTGCCTGTAATGCACGGCTACCCGTACAGACCGCAGGTAGAGTCGTCGTCAGGCCCGAGGAGACCAAGGTACGTCATCCCTTCAGAACAGCTATCATGTTTGAGGAGTGAGTTCAACAGCTGGACGCAGATTGCTGCCGACTTGGGGGTCTCTAGGCAAACTATTTATAACAGGAGAAGGGAGCTTGGATTTTCTCTCGTCTTTGAGGGGTACAGTAATATTCCTGGCACTGACTTGGACAATCTTGTCAGAGATGAACTAAATGCTTTCCCGCGGACAGGCGAAACAAATGTTATGGCAGGCCTCAGACAGAGGGGCATCTATGTTCAAAGGTGGAGGGTGCGAGAGGCCATAGTAAGAGTAGACCCGATCAACCGTGCAAATAGGTTGGGACAGAGAATAGTTAGGAGACCTTACAGTGTCCCTCAACCAAACTTCCTGTGGCACATGGACAGTAATTTACAATTGCGTCACTGGCGGATGTGCATCCATGGCTGCATTGACGGATTTTCGCGATGTATAATTTACCTCGATGTTCACAACAACAATAGAGCAAGTACTGTCCTCACCTCGTTTCAGCGGTCAACAAATGAATGGGGTGTCCCATCGAGAGTTCGAGCCGACAACGGAGGAGAAAATGTGGCTGTCAGAGATTTCATGGTCTTTTTTCGAGGTGAAATTCGGGGCAGTTTTTTGACAGGGCCTAGCACACGGAACACCAGAATAGAACGCCTTTGGAGAGATGTTGTGGAAAGTGTTGTGACTGTGTTTACATCTTTGTTTTTGTTTATGGAGGCTAGACACATTTTGAATTCATTTGGAAAGCCATACTCTGTGTTGTTGTCCTTGGATTTTTATTTTTCTAAAAACTTGTTCCCTGTCTACTTTGACAACTTTGTCTAGACGACCCGTGCAATAAACGATCTTACAGGCGGGGTCTCAAACACCTCTCCTGGTCCTTCCTCTCAATACATTTCAAGAGATAATTTAGAGGACTCCGTCTTATTAGATTACGAGTGGTTTCCATTTTTCCTCGAGCATAGTACCCCACGCGAGAGGCGAGCGTCTCGCCTTTCTCGCGTGGGGTGATTTTCACGCGGGCTCGCGTTTCGCTCGCTTTACTATCCCTGGGGAAAAACGGGGACTACTCGTAGTCACTGCGTGCTCCTTCCTTTATTTCTCGGGGGCAAAAAAATCAGAAGATTGGATGAATATTGGTATGAAACGCAGTCACTCTCAATCCCGGTGCTCTCTAATTCGCACTAAAGGAAGAGTAGGAAGGGACCCAGTTCATCCTCTTTGTTTAAAAAAAAAGTTCTCTACACCTTGGTAGTCGTGCATTAGCATTTGATGCTTCTTATGGAACTTGCTGCCAATGTTGGATTAAAAGTCGTAGCAGCGGGTCTCCATATAAATAACATTGAAATTTAAAGCGTTCCTTATAAAAACCCTTTAATTTTCTTTATTTAAGTGCGGATGATTAGCAGTTTAGAGCATTTTCCATTTATAGTATTTAAGCTATTATTAATTGGCAGTTTCTTCCGTGGGGATGGCCAGTATTAGTAAGAAAAAAAAAGTTGGGCGTCTGACTGTGACCAACCCCCAGTAGCCGAAAGTTCCAGGATTTCGGAACAGTCGACGGACATACTAGAGTCATCTGAGTTTAACCCGCGGGCCTACCTTAGTGATTCGCTGCAGTCGACGATCTACGATGCACCGGCCCAGTCAACTACGGTAAGTCTTGAACGTTTTTAAAGGGAATTTGAAGTTCGACATGTATCTTTAACACTTAATGTGACTTACTTACATGTTCTGATATTTTCCTTGTTTTCCTTTTTCAGGACGCTGCAGAGGACGAACCCTCTCTTCGACCTATCTTGGACCCCGCCCGTGATGAATCATCCATCGCTGAACAAACACCAGAACCATCAACCGCTCCATTCGCTTTAACATTTAAGGTCATTGAAGACTCCACCTCTAAAGGCAGACCAAAGCTAATTGACAGATCTCGGTAAGCGGGCTGGAAATTTTGCCATATGAACACTTCATCCCGGTCACCGGGATGAACGGCGGAATGAATTCTGGCGGTCCGGATGGCATCGTCTTGCATTGCCTGCTGTGTTTTCCACATCATAAGCATCCCATTTAACTGCAGTGATACAGCTTTAAGAGTTACCGATGCTAAGATAGGCCCGAAAGTTAAAATTTTTGTGTTTCGCTATGTTTGCTTTGTTTCCCAAATTTGGCGCCAGAACTCGTACCCAGGATCTTTTCTCATCTCGGAAACCGGGCTAAAATTTCTCATATGAACCCAAGGCAAAATTCATCCCGGTAACCGAGCCAGCCCGGTCAACCGGGCTCATATGAAGAGGCCCTAAGAATTTCCCAAAGCGCGCAAAGACATTTACAGAACGAGTGCACCAGGGAATTTATCATGGAGAAGGTTACATGTATGGCCATGTGAACACATTTTCTGAAAAAAAGTAAGCTTAATCTTGAGCTTAGTCTAAGTGTAAAATTATTGAACGTAACCTTAATTTACAAATATATAGCTTTGTAAAGTTATAACTATCTTTCAAATGTATTCTTTAAGATACTACGAAGATTTACAGTACACATAAATGTCAGCAACAACTGCACCAACATTAACATTTTTTATTTGAAGCAGTAGGGTTACATTTGCCCTAAGTTTAAAAGAATGAAGTCACCCCTTTGGAAGTGACAGTAACTAGCAAATCCTCTCAAAGACAGATACCGTTGGAACCGGTACCAAATGTTTGTCTTGGTGAGGTGTTCGCTTTATACAGAGTCAAAAAAAGATTGGCAAGCAGCAGGGACCAATCATTAACAATTCCAGACATGATGACATTTCCCACCATTCTCTGGGTATGTT